GGGGAATAAAGGCATGAATGAGCTGCTGTAGCCAGCCCTGTTCTGGTTCTTTCCCCAGGTTCATTCAGGGCTCGGTGGTGCAGACTCCCTATGCTTTCTACCACTGGCAGTGCATCGACGTCTTTGTGTACTTCAGCCACCACACCGTCACCATCCCTCCGGTGGGCTGGACCAACGCTGCCCACAGGCATGGGGTCTGTGTGCTGGGTAAGAGCCAAGGACTCACCTCTGTGTCAGCCAGACTCCTCAGCTCACCAGCCAGGGGACCCCGTGATTAGGAGGCGCAGGCTTTGCCTCCTTCTCAAGTGCACAGAGCCCCTTGCTGGGGGCCGCCTCGGTTGGTCAGGACAGGCATTTGCAGGATTTTTCTGGAAAGGACCAGACAGTATTTTCAGCGTTTCAGACCCGTGAGTCACTGTGGTGATTATTGGAGTGACAGCAGGTAAACAAATAGGCAGGGCCGTGTTCCAGTAAAATTGCATTTACAAACACAGGTAGTAGTGGGCATTGGCCCGGGGCCCCGGTTTGCGGATTCCTGGGTCAGAACAGTGCTTCTCAGGCTTTAGCCTCAATCCCAGTCGTTGATGGGCTTCCATCACCAGGATTGCTGGTCCCCATCAGCAGAGTGTTGGATTCACGGGATATATGGGGATTTTAATGTCTACCAAGTGTCAGGTGATACTGAGGCTGCTGGTTCCAGAACCTCACTTTGAAAACCAGCAGGTCAAGGGACGGTGATTCCCGTGGCTGACCTTGTTTCTCTCCTGTCCTCACAGGGACTTTCATCACGGAGTGGAACGAAGGGGGAAGGCTCTGTGAAGCCTTCCTGGCCGGGGACGAGCGCTCGTACCAGGCAGTGGCTGACAGGCTGGTCCAGATCGCGCAGTTTTTTCGTTTCGATGGCTGGCTGATCAACATCGAGAACTCTCTGAGTGTGAGCGCCCAGCCCTCACCCACCTCCCCGCCCCTTGCTGTGTTGCCGCCCACCTCCACCTCTTTCCTTCCTTGGCCTCACCTCGCCCCACACCTGGGCTGCAGGTTGCAGCAGTAAGCCATTTCTCGCCTCCCAGGCAGTGCCAACTCCGAAATCTTAGTTACTCGCAGTGAGAGGGAATCTCCTCCGACTGTTTCCAGCAAGCGTGCTTGGCCGGCTCTCACGTTTCCCGCCCTGTCTGTGAGCCCGCCTTTCCTTTTCCACGCTCTGCTCTGGGCTGGGGGTGTGGCTTCCTTCTCAGGGCACCCTCCCCTTTCGGTGCGTTCTGTGTTTTCCTGACTTCTGCGTTCATGTTCTTCCTGCCACAGTAAGAAAGGGGAGTCGTCTGTTTGGCTGGACTCCACTTTTGGGGTTGTGGCAGGGAGGGCCTTTCAGAACTGCAGCTTCACCTGTGGATCTGTTTGCTCTGCGTCCCCCGGTCTGTCAGCGCCGGATACTTCTCATGATAGACGGATCTGGGGCTCACCGAGGCTCTCACCTCGTTCCTTTCTTTCAGCTGGCTGCCGTGGGGAACACGCCTCTTTTCCTGCGGTACCTGACCACACAGCTGCACCGACAGGTCCCGGGGGGCCTGGTGCTCTGGTATGACAGTGTGGTGCAGAGTGGGCAGCTCAAATGGCAAGACGAACTCAACCAGCACAACAGGTAAGCCTGCAGACGGGCGCCATGAGGGGGCGGGTGCTGCGAGGGGCGGGTGCCGCAAGGGGCGGGCGCAATCTCCCTCATGAAGGCAGAGCATATATGACTGCATTGGGTAAAAAGAGGGAGAAGGTAGGCCAGGTGTGGCGGCCTACCCAGCATTTTGGGAGGCCGAGGCGGACGGATCATGAGGTCAGGAGATCGAGACCATCCTGGCTAACACGGTGAAACCCCATCTCTACTAAAAATACAAAAAAATTAGCTGG